CAGTCAGTCAGTTAGTTAGTTGGGTAGATAGTTAGTTAGTTAGTTTGCTTGATTGTTTGTTTGTAAAAAATTAAGTAAGTAGGTCAGTAAGTAAGTAAGTAAGTAAGTAAGTAAGTAAGTAAGTAAGTAGTAGTAGTTAGTAGTTAGTAGTAGTAGTAGTAGCAGTAGTAGTAGTAGTAGTAGTAGTAAGTAGTAGTAGCAGTAGTAGCAGTACTAGTAACAGTAACGCCGTCCTTGATAGACCTCCACACCGCCTGCAGCCAAGGGAGTGGGGTAGCAGACAGTGAGGGACCCGTGGTCCTTGTTGGCCAGCATTGACTGGAAAGCCACCCACTTCGTGACCGCGAAGCCGAGTCCGGAGGAACACACACTAATGAAATCTGCCCCCAGAACTGAGCAGGGACGTCAGGTCGATGAGGACGACGTCTGCATCGACCTGACGTCCCTGCTCACCTGCTGCCTGTAGTCTCCTCCTCAGCCTGGAACACAAATGAAATCTGCCAGGAGAACTGAGCCGGGACGTCAGGTCGATGAAGACGACGTCTGCATCGACCTCACGTCCCTGCTCACCTACTGCCTGTAGGCCATGTTGGGTCGCGGTGAAAGTCCAGGCCGAGTCCAGGCTGCTTGAGTCCAAGGTTGCACAGAAGCAGACAACGAAAGTGCTGCATGACAAGTGGCTTGGCCGGCAAGAGGAACTCAACTCGAGGCTGCGGCCCCGTTTGTCCCGCGAACTCGTCCTGGAAACTGGAAGCACCTCGGTCGGAAATGATAGGAATCCCGGCAATTTCGTATCCTCGCCCAGAAGACGACTACGAGAAACAAGGCTCCGGCCAAAGCCAAGGGAGGTTGCTGGCAGACCTGGGCAGAAAGCTGGAATCATGAAGTAACTAAAGCCCACACTGCCGGAAATCAGGCTCCGACGAAAGCCCAGGCACGTTGGCGGCAGACCTGGGCACAAAGCTGGAATCAGGAACTAAGTCCAAAGCAAAGCCCAGACCGCCCCAAGCCAGGCTCCGGCGAAAGCCCAGAGAGGTTGCTGGCAGACCTGGGCACAAAGCTGGAATCATGAACCAACTGCAAAGCAAAGGCTACACTCGCAGGACGGAAGAGGCAAAACACGTTCCTTTTCTGCTGCAAGATATGCTGTGCGATCCTAGCTCCGGAGAGGGACTTTCTTTGGCCCGGCATTGCACAGAATGTACAGGAAGTGTGTTCTTTGCCGAGCTCAGCATGGCTTCCCCTGCATGCTCCCTATGTCTGCATTCCCCTGCAGATGCAGTCAGCAGCGAACTTGTGTCGGAGACCAGCTTGGCAGTGATTCAGCCCTAAATTTCAACGTGTTCTTTTAGGCACTGGCCTCCTACCACATGTCCGCCCAAAACCGCCAGACTTCGGCCGGGGCCTCAAACTCAATCGAAGAAGCAGCTGCTGACTCCCTGGGGGCCGTCGATGACCTTGATTTCTCGAACCTGGGCCGCACACGAAGTATTATATGCACCACTGCAAGAACCGGAAGCAGGCTAGCATTTGCATCTGCCAAGCCACAAGCTTGAAAGCATCCACCAAACCCTCCACACGGATCAAGGGTGGTTTGTGACGCTTGTTCCTGTCATTCTCCGTCGTGACCACGTGTATGGCACTCTGGGACTTGGCCTTCTCCAAGAAGTCCACGAAACGACCGTGAGCCTTTTTGAAGTAGTCCGTAAAGTCCACATTCACTTTCGGAGACTTGTTTGTCCTTGGCCTGTGCCGGCGAACCACAAGACGTTTCTCGCCACCCTGAATCTGTGAGCATCGCTGCCAATCTGCACGTGTAGCGGCCGACCATCCCTTGAGAGCCAGAGCCAGGGCAGCGACGGCAAAGGACCTTTCAAGAGCCCATTCGTTGACACTGATATCTTAGGATAGGGCAGGCAGAAATGAAATTAAGTTGAACTCACATCCTATGCAGTCACATCATATGCAGTCTGGTCTCGTGCCCGCATATGGTGGGGGATGGTCCAAGTCCACAAAAGCCTCCACGACCACAAGCTTCAAGGCCTGGCAACGTTTGGCCAAGGAGTCC